GGGGGGTGGTGTGGGAGGGGGTGGGTGGAAGTGAAAGCTGTTGCAATTGAAACGGGGCCTAATCAGACTCATTACCATTTTTACCAATTTGCACCACCAAAGCTGCCTATTAGGTAACTGTGTTTAATAAGCCGCTCTTTAAAGAACCCACTGTAATGAGCTCTTTAAAGTCAGACTTGAGCGTGATTATGTGTTGGAAGTGTACAGCGGAGCCGCTACATTTAGCCAGTGCACAATGTCATAATTAAGCTGCACAAAACTCCGGCGCTCCACTCTGCACAATGGTCCCAGCTGAGGCAGGAGACGTGCCGAAAAGTATTTATAATTACTGATCATTACAACCCCGGGATTTTCACAACTGGACGTAAACATAATTATCGAAGCTGTTGCTTTTATTTCGCACACAAGGACCACTCTACTTGACAAGCGTGCAAATATTGTCGACAGGCCGTAATTACATTTGTAAAAAAAAAAAAAAAAAAAAAAACAAGCTCATGTTCATATTTAAATTCACGGCGTATATTCTAAGTAGGGGAGGAGCGAGACGCTCCAGTGCGACGTAGAGCGGTCATTAGTGAGAAGTGTGCAGCTCCATTCATTTCACACATCAAGTTAGGATTATTTAAACCTAATTGAGAGCCTGGTGTGGCAGCGATTCCCGTCGTCTGACGACAGGCTGCCATTTAACCTTTCATTTAGATGAGATTCTTCAGTCACTGTCCTTTTCCCCGACATCCTGTCCATTTACAGTCACTTTTCACTGACGCTATAAAAACATAACAGATAAAAAGATAATAACTGTAAATAGCCAACATAATTGGATAAATAATAATGATATTATTATTATATTCAGGGTGGCTTACTCCCTTGGCTAAGCCTTGGTAATTACTAATAATAACTAGTAATATTATTATTACTAATAATAATAATAGTAATAATAATTGCCTTTCTTATAAAAACATTGTGTGACTTGGTGATTAATATAAGTAAAAAGTTCAAATTATATTTTAACTTTTCAATAAACTAAATATTTGCAGCCTTTGATTCCATGGGCCAAGGTACATGCAGTAATATATATTCAATATATGTATAATTCCTCTACTGTCATTTGATGTTTACCTTTTCTATATTAAACCCACGGCAGAACAAACCAATCCAGTGAGCTGTAAAACTACCTTTCAATTCACTGTATTCTTATTAAGCAGCTGTGATATAATATATAATTGTAGGATCAAAAATGAAAAACGCCTGCGAACAATAAACAAAGCACTTTTTGCTTAATTGAGTAGAAAACTGGTATTTGGGACAGAAGGACGGGTCATTCTTTGTTTCCAACATGTGCGTGTCAGCCGTTTTTCATGTGACTTTGTCTGTTCTTGAGCCGTTCCTGCACAAAATCACAAATGTGCCTTTTGTTGTTGTTTGTTTTGTTTTTTTTTTTTTCTCTTTGTTAAATTTGTCCTACGATCAGCATCACAGGGGCAGTTAGCCCACGTAGGTCAGCGGCTGATGTATGAAGTATATGTGACTATATATGACTTTAACTGTGGAGTTGATTTATTAATAAATGATTTATTATTTAAACGGTTTGGTGATTGTGTTAAACTAAATATTCATATGGAAACAAATATATGTAAAGATTGGATTTATAAAGCATGTACAATTGGAATTGTTTGTTTTACTACAGTTTAATAATATTTAATTTTTGGTTTTGTATAATATTCGTAATATTAGATTCACCAATTTAATGTAGTGGAAAACACTACCGTGGGTTTTTGTTTAGAATTTTTTTTTATAATATTTGTGTGGATAATGTGACTACTTCAGATATTGAAAGTATGTGAAGGAATGTGTTATAAACGGTTTAGTTGAAACGTCAGTTACTACAGATACTAGGTGCTGGTTAAAATAAATCCATGTAAAACGTGAAAGCAGTTTGAATTTGTGTAATTCAAATAAAATTATAAACATTACAGCATCTGATCAACTGCAGTTTCACACAAATACATAAGAAACACGACTCTCTGGGGGAAACGTGGGAACAAACCCAAAAGGCTGGGACCAGAGTTAACAAGTGCAGAGCAGCATTAAGAGGACAATTACACAGTCAGAGCGTTTCATTTCTCCCACATAATGACTCTGTTGAATCAGTTCCACGTGTCGCAAATAAACTTCATTTTCTCTTACGACACACGGAGGAACATTCGATTCTGTTT